CCTTGGTACTAAGCTACATTGCCTGTTCTTCTTTGTATGTTTTATTTTGAGATAGGGTCTCACCTAGTTTCCCAGAATAGCCTTAAACTTTTAATCTTCCTGCCTCAGCCTTCTAAAATGCTGGGATTATCCTGCTATATTTTGCTGCTGCTTTTACATGAGATACAGCTAATTTACCATCAAAAGAACATGTTTGCCCCGTGTCCCCAAACCTTGATGGGTTGGCACACACTATCTAAAATGTTGTATTTTTGTGTCGATGGACAATTTGGAAAGAGATTTCCCTTAGGACTTTATAAAAAAAGAATTCATGATCTTGGCCTCACTGGCAGTCATTCATAAATCTAGGCCATATCAGTAAGGGAATTATAAAATTTGGAAGCTTAAATTAGGCTTTGAGTGTACTATCAACTTCCCTTGTTAGACCTGCCCTTGTATGATTGGTTGAGAATGTCTAAAGAATAACTATTTGAGACTCAAAAGGGAGCAGAATCAGTATCATCACTGCTTACTGGATGAAGAATTTCAGGCCCGGGGTCCACAGACTTAAACTCGTATTTCCTAGTCCAAATTACCAGCTTTTGAGTAGTAGGGAAATCTCATAGAGATTTGAAATGAACTTACACTATCCACAACATGACTCATCGTGTGTAGATGAAGCAGAATTCTGTGTATTGTCCTCATTAAGAACTCTATGATGGTAAATACTAACTACTAGAATAAGCTGATACTAAATTTGTACTGTGATCCGGAAAAAACAATTTGTGCTCATACATATCTGGAAAGTACAATGACAGGAAGCAATTGGAAGAGATTAATTTTGTCCCAGACAGATAAGTAGAGAAAGAGACTATATTATCCCCAGTGTTCCAGAGATTAGTGATTTTAATCTTGTTATTACATATAATGATTGATACTTGTTTAGTCATTATCACTGTTTTATTAATTCCTAATAGAAAATATTACTGAAAAAATACTATCAACTTCTGTTTACTTGTTTAACATTGAGAACCTACTTACTATATGCCACATAATGTATTAGGTATTGGAAATATAAGTATGAACAAACACACTATGGCCTTTACATGAACTGTAGAACTTAAATCCAGCAGGAAGAACCATACAGGTTTCCTTTAAACCCTAGGTTAATGTATAAATGGACAAAACATGGTGCTTCAGAGAAAGGTGAGCTGTGCTTTTGAATCACATTATGTAGGAAAAAACATACTAAGGAAAACCTCTTAGCCTAGCTCAGCTTCAGCTAACAGGCTATACGGTATAACAGAGAAAAGAGTAAATTTTCTACCTTTTATAATAATGTGCATTCTCCAAAGAACTTTGATTTTCAAACAAGGTTTCTTGTGTCGGAGAAATGTACTTACTAGGAAAAGCAATAGTTTTGTGATATGTAAGTTGCTTTATATTAATCTGCTATAATTTAAAAGCACAGTTTTTAGTAATAAGATAAATATACGTATTTTAATTCTGCAAGGAAAGTAAGATCTTACGGAGTGTTGGAGTGTTTTGCAAAGAACTGGCACTACAACTTGTATTTTGTGCCTATCATTAGATAAAAGTGAAAGAGTGAAAGCATTTAGTCATTCACTTTCTCAGTGCCATATGCAAGTAAGCATGTCCCCAGGAACGGATGCAGTTTGAGGAGACATTCCTAAGCATTTAACTAAAAAGCAACACATTAAAAAGTGACGGTTATACACTTAAAAAGGATATTTGGTAATTTCTCCAGGAGATGGCACTGGTGAGCTGACTTCCTTTCCCACAGTAAGACAATAGACCATTCATCTTTGTGTCACCCAAACAAAGAAATATTCCTTTATACCCTCTTTTCCCCCCAACTAATCACATGCTACTGGAACTGACTGTCTTGTGATCGACTTCATAGTTGGAATAGATCTAAAAAATAATCTCTATTTTAAAGAATAATCTGACACATTGTAATTACAGAGCAACATTGCTCACCAGTTTTCATCAGCTTTGTCTTGTCAGTCCAGTAGTGGAGAACTGCAAAGGACTGTTCTGGAAATTTTACTGTCCTGCCGAGAACTTTTCACTTCTCCCATCTTACTAGCCTTGTTTTGGGAGGGAAATAGAAATTTGTAAATCTTTTTGTTTGCAAGTTTAGGTGACAAGGATTTTGATGTAAACACTGGGTTGGGAGCACTGCACCATTTTAATCTACAATGAATATATTCTCTTTAGGGTTTAATACCAGTTTACAGTTCAAAGAAATTTTCGGTTGCTTTACCTTTCAGTAACATTTTCCATATTTTGTCTTTTTTGGTAGTGATGATGGTACTAAAAATTGAACTCGGGAAACGTTATGTAAGTACTGTACCACTGAACTATATATCCTCAGAACTTTAAAAAAATTTTGTTCTGAGACAAGGTCTCACTGAGTTGAGAGTATCCTCAAACTTTCCATCCTTATGCCTCAACCTCAATGGCTGAGATTAGGAGTGTGTCATCAAGCCCGCCTATTGGTTACATTTTCTACTGAACAACTCCGAGCAATAAATGATGGAGTTAGTAAGGTTAAGAATTCAGAACTGGTTTTACCTGTATTGCATGTTCTAGAAGTTGTGTGCGAAGCTTCTGCAGGAAAGGGAATAGTGTAGTAGGGACCTTATTTATTGGAGGTAAGGTGCTAATTTAGGAGACATCATATACTGAAACCAAACGCGCAAAGCACTCACTGCGGGGTTGAGACATTTTGGTAAAGACAAACGTGCGTCTACAAAATGATCGTGTATAAATTAGGCATTGACCAATTCTCCTGCCCCCTTTTACTTGCCCCTAATGCCCAAGCCACATTTGAATTCCAGGAAAAGCCGTACGTTAATTCCTCCTCTGGCCTACCTCCCTGCAGAAGAGGGCAAACGTGATGGACAGACTTTTCTTCAGGCTTGCGAGTCACGGGTGTCCTGCTGTCTATCTGCCTCGGTAGGATCTGCCACACACCAGTTCGCATTCACCTTCTTGGCAGACAGACGGCTGCTTCAGCAGACAATGGGTACCCGCTCCCGCGAGCCGGCCTTAAAAACCTGAAGCACCAGTTAGCTCATGAGGAAGCCCCTTTTCCAGCTGAGCGAGTTCAGGGAATTCCCCGAGGAGATTTTCCGGCGCTGTCTCAATCAGGAATTTTAGGAGTGTTGGGGGGGTGGGTGCGAGTGTGCCAGAAAGAGCAGCGAGGGGTCCTGAGGCCTCGGAGCCGTGGGCTTCTCGAGAAGGTGGGGGAAGCCCCTCAGCCAACTCTGGAGCCCTGCCCGGGAGACGCGGCGCGAGGGTGGGGAATGACCTCAGCCGTCTCTGCCACGTTCCAGCCAATCAGTCCCGCGTCTTGGCATCCGAATCCAAGACCCCCGAAGCCGGAGGCGACGCGAGCCAATGGGAAGTGGGCTGGGGAAGACGGACAGGAGGCCGGCCAATGGGGGCGGGGAGGCCGGGCTGCGCGTATCCAAGGAGCGCGGCGCTCGGGCTCGGGGGTGTGGCGCGGCGGGGGCGGCGGGCGCGCCGGGTGGCAGGTGTCAGCGGCGTCGGCGTTCGGCGACTATGGAGCGGCCCCGGGGAGCTGCGGACGGCCTCTTGCGCCAGCCCCATGGCCTCGGCCTCCTTGTCCTCCTGCTGCTGCAGCTGCTGCAGCCGGCGACCCTCGGCCAGGACCGGCTGGACGCGCCCCCGCCGTCCGCGGGGTGGCCCCTGCACTGGCCGGGCCCCGTCGGGGTGAGCTGGGGGCTGCG